TCACACAAACATCAAACCAGCCTCGGCCGTTTCACCGATTCGCCTCAAAATCGCTCCACATCATCTCAACACATGTACCATCAAAATGACTTCAGGGAATTTTGATCAGTGAAACGTTGTTTGAGCAGCGGAGCGCCAAAAAGTGGCGTGTTTTTTTTCCGTTTTTGACAATAGAAAATTTGCTTCCGTTTGCACAAACAAAGTCTGATTTGCACAAAACTTGAATCCATGGTTCAACTCTTGGGTCTAGGTCATTTGAAAGTTAGAATTTTGAAATTGGCTCTATAGCGCCACCTACAACAGCCAATTTAAAAATGCCTATGGGAGGGGTTCGAGGTCAAAATTGTCGTAGAACCATGTAATTTGGTACACATGTTCCTCAAGTCAAGACATGGAAAAAATGTTATTATGGCTAAGCCCTCTGACAAACAGGAAGCCAATAAATTTCATTGCAAAATGGAAAAATGAAAACCAATCATTTTCATACATGTCGGTTGGAAAGCGACTCCTCCTCGACCGTTTCACCGATTGGCCTCAAAATTGCTCCAAATTATCTCAACACATTTATCTTCAAAATGACTCAGGGATTTTTGATCAGTGAAACATTGTTTGAGCAGCGGAGCGGCAAAATGTGACCTTTTTTTGGCCGTTTTTGACAACATTAAATTTGCTCCGTTTGCACAAACAAAGTCTGATTTGCACAAAACTTTAATACATTGTTCAACTCTAGGGTCTAGGTCATTTGAAAGTGAATTGATTCAAATTGACACATTAGCGCCCCCTACAGACTATTTCAAAGTTTTAGATGGGCATTTTCAAATTTAGTTTTTTCAAAATGTTTGAAATTTTGCACATAAATCTGTTTTGCCCTCTTGATTCAAAAAGTCAATAGGGTCCAAGGCTTATTTTTTACCCTGTTGCCGTGGCGACGACAAACGCTCCCCATTCATTGCAAATGTACACCTCAACATCAAACCAGCCTCGGCCGTTTCACCGATTCGCCTCAAAATCGCTCCACATCATCTCAACACATGTCCCATCAGAAAATGACTTCAGGGATTTTTGATCAGTGAAACGTTGTTTGAGTTTTTTTTTTTTTTTTTTTTATTTTTTTTATTGAGCGCTGAGCGCCAAAAAAAACAAGGTGGCGTATTTTTTTTCAGTTTATTGACAATAGAAAAAAGTGTTTCCGTTTGCACAACAAGTGTGATTGGCACAAAACTTGAATCCATGGTTTAACTCTTGCGTCTAGGTCATTTGAAAGTTTAAATTTTGAAATTGGCTCTATAGCGCCACCTACAACAGCCAAATTTAAAAATGCCTATGGGATGGGTTTCGAGGTCAAAATTGTCGTAGAAGCCATGTAATTTGGAACACATGTTCCTCAAGTCAAGACATGGATAAAAATGTAATTATGGCTAAGGTCCTCTGACAAACAGGAAGCCCATAAATTTTCATTGCAATAATGGGAAAATGGAAAACCAATCATTTTCCATACACGTTGGTTGGAAAGCGACTCCTCCTCGGCCGTTTCACACGATTGGCCTCAAAATTGTTTCCATAATCATCTCAAACACATTTACCTTCAAAATTACTTCAGGGAATTTTAGCAGTCAAAACGTTGTTTGAGAAGCGGAGCGGCAAAATGTGAGTGGCCGTTTTTGAACAACATACATTTTTTCCCCGTTTGCACAAACAAAGACTGATTTGCACATTAAACTTGAATACATTGTTCGCAAACTCCAGGGTTTAGGTCAGGTGAAAGTGAAAATATTTGAAATTGGCCCATTAGCGCCCCTACAAGACTGATTCAAAGTTTACATGGGGAGCCAAACCAGCTCTACTTATCATATTCATTACAATTTGACTAACAATCTTCGTAAAGCTGCACGCTTTGACGCCGCACGCTTTGACGCCGCACGCTTTGACGCCGCACGCTTTGACGCCGCACGCTTTGACGCCGCCCGCTTAGACAACTCCTCCACGCCGCACGCTTTGACGCCGCACGCTTCGACGCCGCATCGCTTTGACACCGCACGCTTTGACTCCTCCTCCACACCGCAAGCTTTGACGCCGCACGCTTTGACGCCACACGCTTTGACGCCGCACGCTTTGACGCCACACGCTTTGACGCCGCACGACTCGACGATGCCGCACGCCTCGACGACGCCTCGACGACGCCGCACGCCTCGACGACGCCGCACGCCTCGACGACGCCGCACGCCTCAACGACGCCTCGACGACGCCGCACGCCTCGACGCCGCACGCTTTGACGCCGCACGCTTTGACGCCGCACGCTTTGACGCCGCACGCTTTGAAGCCGCACGCTTCAACGACGGCGCACGTTTCATCGCAGCTCGTCGGCAGCCGCACGCTTCATCGCAGCTCGTCGGCGGCCGCACGCTTCATCTCAGCACGTCGGCGGCCGCACGCTTCATCGCCGGTGGCCGCTGTTTGACGCCACGTCGGTGTCCGCCTCCTGCCGCATTCTCGACGCGTGCTCTCATCCATTCATCGTGGGACCAGTGTCGACCATGGACTCGCGTTCCCTATTGAGGGGTGAACAATCCAACGCTTGGAGAGTTCTGCTTCACAATGACGGGAAGAGCCGGCATCGACGGATCAGGTCAGTGGTCTGACTGAAGACGTGGTCTGACTGAAGACGTGGTCTGACTGAAGACGTGGTCTGACACTGCCCGTTGGTCCTTTTCACTCGTGTGATAGTGGTTCGAGGTTTCTCTTTTCAGCTTCGCAGGAACGTGATGCCGCAACGCCGCACCAAAGCTCTGCTACAACGCCGCGACGGTGGCCTGCTGCAACGCTGGCCTGCTAAGACTGCATGAGTACTGTTCGGCGTGGCCTTCAAACCTGGCCGGCTATCTTCCCCAGGCCGCACTCATTGGCTTTTGGTGTGCAGCACTGCCCGCCACGGTTTGCGTGCACTCTGAGTGGCTGTAGGCGGTGCTCCTTCTCATGTTCCCCAGGCATATTCTCTCCTGGTCTCCTGGTGCGGCTCCTACCGCCGGGCCTGTCTCACGCTTCGCCTTACCTGACGTACCCTGGCCCTCATTCTGACCGGGCCCTTGTGCGTTGGTTTTTGGGGGTCCAGAGATCTCCTATCGAACATCAATCTTCCTGGGTAAGTGTACTTCATGAATCTCATTTTCACCTTCTAGTCTCCCCAAGTGGAATCATGTTCGAATATCAGCGCTCTAAACACCAGCAGTTCATCCTTCATTCAGCATTCTCCTTTCCCTCTCACTGCACACTCTCAGTCTCTGGACATCAGCATCGCGGGTACTGCTGTCACTGCCTCATCTACATCGGCATTAAATACATTCTCTAAAATCCACTTCGAGTCACACTGCTCCACCCTCATAAGAAGATCCTTAAAGGAGTATTGGCAATGGTCCTTGTTCTGTAGTTTAGGTCCTGGACGACTAGCCTGTCTGTCCGTGGAGTGGATTCCCTCTCTCAATGTAGGGTCTTCCGAAGGTTTCTCACTTTTTTCCCCACGGGGTTTTGTGATTTTTCCTTGCCATACAGGAGGGTCTGGACAGTTAGTGTCCAACTAGAAGGCCCATGGTGATGATCCAGGATACTTTAACATTCTACAACATCTATGGACATTTTATCAACATTCATAGACTATAATTACTCCTTAAACAATCCCTTGACGACCCCCTGGTCTGAACAAATTCTAAACCTCTGCTCCCTGCATGTAACCTCTCTTCCTTTCTCTACACCCGCCACTCCTTCCGGATAGGAGCAGCCACTTGGGCGGATGCGCCTGGGACTCCCTCAATCATCTCTCCAGGAGCTCGGTCCCCGGTTCTCTACCACATTCATCCGTTCTGGCAGCCCAGCGCCTCCTCTCATATAAGTACGTATGCATCTCCTGGTGGTGGCAACTCCTCATTTCCAGCATGCCGCGCACTCGAGCCGAGCTCGTGCGTGTGCCAACGCCTAGCGCTAGAGCCAAGCTCGCGCACGGACATTACGCCGCGCACTCGAGCCAAGCTCATAGGCGTGCCAACGCCTAGCGCTAGAGCCGAGCTCGCGCACGGACATTACGCCGCGCACTTCAGCCGAGCTCGTGCGCGTGCCAACGCCTAGCGCTAGAGCCGAGCTCGCGCCCGGACATTACGCCGCGCACTTGAGCCGAGCTTGTGCGTGTGCCAACGCCTAGCGCTAGAGCCGAGCTCGCGCCCGGACATTACGCCGCGCACTCAAGCCGAGCTTGTGCGTGTGCCAACGCCTAGCGCTAGAGCCGAGCTCGCGCACTGACATTACGCCGCGCACTTGAGCCGAGCTCGTGCGCGTGCCAACGCCTAGCCCCCAGAGCCGAGCTCGCGCCCGGACATTACGCCGCGCACTCGAGCCGAGCTCGTGCGTGTGCCAACGCCTAGCGCTAGAGCCGAGCTCGCGCCCGGACATTACGCCGCGCACTCGAGCCGAGCTTGTGCGTGTGCCAACGCCTAGCGCTAGAGCCGAGCTCGCGCACTGACATTACGCCGCGCACTTGAGCCGAGCTCGTGCGCGTGCCAACGCCTAGCGCTAGAGCCGAGCTCGCGCCCGGACATTACGCCGCGCACTCGAGCCGAGCTCGTGCGTGTGCCAACGCCTAGCGCTAGAGCCGAGCTCGCGCACTGACATTACGCCGCGCACTCGAGCCGAGCTCGTGCGCGTGCCAACGCCTAGCGCTTGAGCCGAGCTCGCGCACGGAAACAGTCACTCACACCATGCGCCTTCCATAAACACAGCAACCAAGTCATGGCAAACGCATCGCTAGCCAAGCTCTCTTTTTGGGGATCATGATCTGCACCCAGGCGCAGATCTCTTCAGAGCACGGCCACAGCCGGGGCCTAAGCTCCAAACCAATAAACAAACTCAATCCATAAAATAAACAACTCTTAAACGCATCTCGTCTCTTGTAGTCTCTCCAGGTTGAAACAACAGCTGATATGGTCCTGTCCTCGATAAGTTACAGATTTGCGGGGATGACTTCAACAGAGGTAAGACATGTTACTGTTTTGTATGATATTTAGACCAAATCAATGTGTATATTTTCCAAGATGTGATACTTCAGCAAATGTAAAGCAAAGTGAATTATCAAAAGCCTGAAGCCACATTATATTCACACAGATCAACATTTCAAAGGGGAACAAAAAAAGTTTCTATTATGTATATATAAACGTAAGCCTAACTGTAATAATACAATTCCACAGATAGAAATGCTTCTATGACAAGCCAAAATCATCTTTTCATTGGGCCTTATAAGGTTAGCGTAGCATGAGACTTTTTGTAGTATATTTACTACTCATCAGTGAAGTCACTCTTATTTTGCAGCCAAGACAAGCTAACATTAGAAAAATTATTATTCCCATAGAAAATACAGCATAATTACCACTGTTACTGTTTTGTTTTTATTAGTGTTATTACTGACACTAGTCTGCTACTAATACTACACAAGTTGTCTGTAGGTATAAAACTATATCAACTGTTCTGATAAATTCAAAATATTTTTTTATGAAGTTTGTACAAAACATACATTCCAGAACAGTGACATCTAAATCTTTTTGCTTTTCCTTCTAGGACTCCAGTCCAGTTGAATCTGTAGTTTCTGAGAGCAGTGACTTTGAATGGGGGAGAGGAGGAGGCAGACGAGCAGCAAGAAGATGAGGAAGAGGAGCAGCAAGATGAGGAAGAGGAGCAGCTGGAGGAGGAAGAGGAGCAGCCAGAGGAGAGGCCAGGCTAGAATGAGAAGAGCAGGACATGTGGGTTATAAAGACGCCCCTTTATTCGTTCCACAGTAGGGAATTAAAACTAAAATGCAACTCATCACCACTTTAGAAATGAGTCTTTCTTTTATTTCAATGTTTGGGGGAAAATTTTTTATATTTGACATAATATAAATAAATGTGCTGTGTCCATCTTTGATTGCTGTCAGCCTCTGTTCAGGGACCAGATAAAAAAGTCCTAGAAAAAGAAAGAAAAATATTTTATATCATAGAGATTTTTTTCCCACTTGATTATCATCACTACCTGTCCTCTGTTGTGTCCGCTCCAGTTCAGCTGCAGGAGGAGGGATGATGAGGACAGAGGACCCATGGCCCTGGGGTCATCTGCTTACATTTTTTGAGAGTCCCCCAAGCAGAGCTGAGGCGCTGGTCTGGGATAGAGCTGTAGTCTTTAGTCTCCTTCACAGTGTAACGCTGAGACTTTTTCTGTAGACATCAGTAGAAATAATATGTTTCTTTATTGCTTTTATACTGAATCTTGATAATAAAGTATGACTTACGATACTTGGCCTTTGCTGTTCACATGCACTGGGCGATGGTTATGGAGGTTGTAGTCTAATGCAGCGAGGAGTGTACGAGCTTCATAGGCGCCAAGTAAATCCAAAACGCTTCCCTGCGTACATCAGGACATGGTTTTGGAAAGATTCGAGCTTTGAAGTTGTCCTACAGAACAAAGATTATTGTAACGTCAAACATACAAATAAATTCGATCTCTGTGTAATATAATATACTTTGTAGTATTAAAAAGGCAGTTCCTGTACATTCCCACAAGATGTCACCCACATGACTTACCGAAAGGTGAGCAACTTCTCAATATCCTTCAGCCACCTCCAGTTAAGAACCACGTGGAATGGGCTCTTTGTCCTGTTTATCCTCCAGAGGCGCATATGATGAAGTGCACCTCTCCACACACCCTAAATGTATACAATACGTTGTATATCAAAAGTTATACCATGTCACCATACAAAGAGAAAATTACATTATCTAGTGACGTTATAAATATCCAATGTTCATACAGACCATAAACTCCTCTCTGGTGCTTGTGTGCTGACAAGCATACCAGAAATGGTTAAAGATGTCCTCAATCCATACAAGTAAAGCCTTTTGACCAGAAACGATTCCAGCCTGATTGAAGACACCACAATTATATTTTAAAAAGTCTTACCAGACCTGTGTTGAATACAATTAAACACTTACGATGTCCATGGTGTCTTGCTCCATTGTTGTGTACGTACAGCACATAGCAGAGTGACCTTTTTGGAAAAATATATAGATTGTGGGAGAAATAATAATGACAATCAAACATTTCAATAACAACAAACCGATATTAATGAAATGCCACAGAGCTTTGTGCATTACCTGGAAAGTAGATCCTCCCGTCAGCTAAAACATAAACACAAAAGGCATGTAAGCATACATATACACGGGCTTAGAAATTAATATGCTTACTTACCAAGGGCAACAACGTTGTCTTTGGACTCTAATCTGTTGATAATAGCAGTCCTTTTCTCCTCCCAAAACTGCTTTATTGTTTTTAGACAGGAGGTTCCCTGGACTGCATAAGATGTTGAGGAGGCCACCATGCAGATATTCATGAATTTGAGAATTTGGAGAACAACATAAAATCTCCTCCTTGCATAAACTCCATAATTTATGGCCATGCGGGCAAAACTATATGGGGAAGAAAGTGTTAACAAGTATGTAACTTCACACATATACCATATTTGTACTGTCTGGTAAACACATGAGCAAACCATGTAAACTCACCCACTCCAATATCAAAGATGTACCTCGCGCATGTGACTTTACAGAAAAGGGTGGACGGCCGTCACACTCTGTGCCTGTGTGGTCACTGTAGTGGCATTTATTAACAGACAATTGGAGGAAAGTTGCCATCTGCAGAGGTTTTTGTTGTATGCTATGCATGTGTCAGGGATGAAGCAGACAGAGACGGATCGTGGTGCGCCAAACTCTGGAAGTTTATTTAAAGAGCGACTAAACACCCAATCAACTTTTTTTAACTCATAAACTGCATAAGTATGTTTATTGTAGTGCTGTCTACATATCCTGGTAATTTTTTTTGACATTTTAGTTCAAATTAGATAAAATATCACTTTTGAGCCAAAAAACGCTGTGTGGTGCCCTCTCAACCTTTTTGGTGGTACTACATTTGAATTTGGTCCTGGCCTCTCCATTGACTCTGAAGTTCTCTATGACATCAGTTGTTTTGTGTGACGTCAGTCTGTCAGAGCCAGTGATGTGAACCCATTCAACTCTCACACACGCCCCAGCTGCAGTTTGGAGTGTTCTGGCGCCATCTAGTGGATTAAAATTAAATTACATGAGTCATTCTGAGATTATTGAGTGTGATTAGGTTCAGGTGTGTAGCTTTACAATTATCTTAGTGTGTAAACAAGGGTGGAATGAGACTTTCTGGTCTGTAAACTATTGCTTTAAGCAGCAATGACAACTGTCTGTTTTTTTTTTGTGTGACAAGTGAGCTGTCAATCACAGCCCAGACCACGGCCAACTCTAAGCCCCCCTTCTTGTCCCTTAGTCCTCCAGGCAACGCCCTTTTTAGAGAAAATTTTCAAATCTTCATGTGGGCGGAGTAAGGCTGGGCACAGGTGTTTAGTCGCTCTTTAAGTTTCTCTCAAGTTCCAGTGGTTTCCATTTGTTTCTTTCTCTCAGACAGAATGGAGTCAGTACACAGTTTATATAGTCATTGTCACGTCACACATGGAAAGACGTACGTGTCACACAGAGACAGTCACATCATAGTCAAAATAATCAGAGTCCTTGTACAGTCCTGCACATAGGCCATATTGCTATCTAATACTAACACTCACCCCTTTGATCACATAATCACATGTGATCACTCAATTTGATCAATCAATAAAGTGAAAAAAGAAAAAAAAAATCTACAAAAAAAACTTTAAAAAATTATTAAAAAACAAAGAAAATGTATGCATTAAACTCATAATCATCAAATCAATATCAGTGGATTTTATCCTCTATCCTGGGGAAAAAAAACAAAACAAAAAAGTAAATAAATGAACAAAAACAAATCAAAAATAAAAACAAACACTATTGGACACACAAGAACTCAGCAGATTCAGTCAAAACACAGACAAAAAACGAGCTGAGTCTCAAATTAGAATCTAATTTCACTTTTCTTACTCTATACTTTTATTCTAAAGGGGCGTTCACACCGGACTTAACTTCGGCGTCAAAAGCGTCAGGTTTCCATTGAAAGTGAATGGTGAAGCGCGTCAGGTGAAGCCGAGAGCCCCGGCGTCACTTGACGCGCGTCAAAAGCTTCAAGAGTCGCGCGTACTACGCGCTCACTTGAAGCTTTTGACGCGCGAAACGCTCGCGTATCACAACAATCCCTCTGACGCCGAAGTTGAGCAAAGCTGAGCTTTTGAAGCTTTGACGCGGGCTTCAACCAATCAGGAGACGAGGAGCAGCAGCAGCAGAGGGTCTCTCTCTGTCATGAAGAGAAGTCATGTATCTGCTGCTGTTGTTTTATTGTCATTATTGTTATTAGTAATATTATTTGTATGAACGTTCTGAGTAACAAAAATCATTGTACACATGCTGTGTAGTAAACGTAGTTTATTTAAAATAAGAACAGGCTGACGATGAGTCTGGCTCAGAGCAAGGCAGCTCCGGGCGAGCGAGAGCCGGGGAGAGGCGAGCGAGAGCCGGGGAGAGGCAGGGGAGAGGGGAGCGAGAGCCGGGGAGAGGCAGGGAGAGGCGAGAGCGAGGCGGGGAGAGGCAGGGAGAGGCAAGCTCCGGGGTTTGAGAACTCAGACTGGGCGAGTGACATGCGGAAGTACCGCTGAAAGCGAAACTCCTCCGTACGCAGCTCCTGGAGTAAATGACGGAACTCTGCAAACACTGCAGCCTCTCAAGTCTGTGGTGAACCCAGAACATGTTTTGTTGAAGCCCTACAACAACGTTATTTTGCTTTATATAACAAATAAAGGCTCGCTGCTCATTGAAAAATCCACCGCTGTCCTGACAACAGACAACAGAGAAGCTCCGCCCACCGGCGTCACTCGCGTCAAAAGCTTCAAGCACCAAAATGACAAAACTATCCCGGCGTCAGTTGAAGCGCGTCAAAAGCTTTTTGAAGCTTTTGGTCTGAACGCGCCTTAATGCAGCCAGCGGAAATTCAATTTGGTAGACCGGCCCCTCCAGGCCGGTTCTCATCCCCAGCCTATCGCACAGCAAACGCCCCCTTCCAATCACCGTACCGGCCAGGCAAGCCGCTTAAAAGCGGAGAAACTCCCACTCTCGGCCTTCTCGAAGCCTGCAAAGAATCGTTCTGGAGGAATCGCTTTTGTCTACTCACGCTTACTTGTTGCATGTGTCCCTGCTGTCCTCTGTCTTGCTGCGTGTGGTCTGCTCTTCCTCCGCGTCGCTGCTCCTGCTGCGGGTCTCGTGCTGTGGTCCGTGGGTCTTTGCCGCTCTCCTCCTTTGCGGGCTCTTTCTGCGGGTTCGCCGCTGCTCGTCTCGTCGCGGCCTGCTGCTGCATACGGCCGGTCTGGACCGGTGCGGTGGGAGCCGTGCGCATCCCTGCCTCCTCGTGCCGGTACGGCGTGGTCCCGTTGTGTTGTCCCTTGTCTTCTGGCGTTGTGGGTAAGTATGAGATCTGCGGACAGTTTTATTCCCCTCGCATTGTACTGCAGGCTCAGTTGGCCCCGCGCTTGTACTGCAGGCTCAGTTGGCCCCGTGCATTGGTGGGCAAGCTTCAGTTTAAGGCCCTCACATTGTTCTGCAGGCTCTCTTAACC